TTTCCTGCCTATGCAGGGGGTCGGACTCGATGATCTATTGAGGTCCCTTCCGACCCTAACATCTATGAATCTATGTTCTATCAATACTAACACACTCATGTTAGGACCGAGGCCCAACAATAACAAACACAGAGAAAGAAATGATCCCAGCTCTAAAGAGTTTAAAATCCCCTTAGGGCGCCTATACATGTGTAGTGAGGTTGCTCCAATACATTGCAATTACAGCGCATCAGAGCAGATCCGATTAACTGAGTCTGCTGGAGCGTGGTAATTACCATGCTCCAGCAGACTCCAGTGTGGGTGCTTTAACTAAAGCTTGTTCGACAAGCTTTAGTTAAGCGCCCCCACCACCATTTTTCAGCAAAGGGATGTTGATTAAAATGCCTGGAACATCTCGTTTATTAGAGCAGCTCTCAGAGCCACTCTAATTAAAGTCCCCCCCCTCTCCCCGTACACACACACACTCTCTGAGAGCACGTGTATAAATGCCCTAAGGTCTTGATTCTGTAAACACACAGCCCCAACAGGTTGGAGCTCCTCAAAATATAAAATGATTGAATGTATTGTATGCCTTGGGTCTAAATATTAAAAAAAAAAAAGGAAATGTGAAGTGCCTAGTTATCCTTGTTCCTAATGCCTCCCAAAGCCCCTTTAAGCCCCCCAAACCCCTGTAAAACTTAGATTTTAATTTAAACAGAGAACCAACTGTATAAATGTACACTTACCTTCATTTTTACTGTTCTCTTTTAAACATAACTTGACAGCTTCTACTGCTCTTGGACTGGTAAAAATTAGACCTCCATAGCATTCTGGATGAGAGAGCTAGTTACAAACAATTCAGAAATATATTTAGATGAGTTATAAGAAGCTTGAAAAAATATTTTGTGAACTTTTAGTTTTAAAAGTAGCAAATATTTTAATTATGTAATACAAGTAACAGGGACATTAGTAAGAAAGATATACCACAACACTGAATTCTAAGCTATTTCAAACACTTTTAGAAAAGACTATGTTAATTCTGCAAATCTGAATTTAGAACAGATACAAATTCTTGGCACTGAGCTGGCTTGAAGCTGAGGTAGAGAAGTATATGGGGTATTTAAATGTCATGCAGGTGAAGCTTTGCCTCTGAGTAACTCAGAGAGCACTACTGGGTCAGCTCTGCCACATTCCCCAAAACAAGCAGTTCTGTTTAGTTACTGAGTGCCCCACAGTCAAAGTAATAAACAAGTAGTTCCTTTGCAGGATCCTAATTGATCAGGGGTCCTGCTTGGTTACTTAGTTTCTCAGACTTTTCAAGCTGAAGACATCCTTCCATAACTTTTCTAAATGTAGTGGCACCCCCTTTTCCAGGAGGTGGACCCAGGGGGAGGCTGTTCCAGGAGGGGTCAAATCTGCTTGCATTGGATTAACAGATACAGTAGGTGCCAGTGCCCTCTCCTTTGAAGGGCAGCACTAGCACAGCCAGGCAAAACTGCTTTGCACACCTCTATTTCCGGGGCTGCACCAGGAAGGGGTCCTCCTTCCTGCATTAGGTATATCTGCACCTCCCACCCCTGCCCACTGCTTGTTCTGACCCTGCCAAGCCTCCTGGGAACAGGTGCATGAGAGTTCCACCTGGAGGCACCAGTACCATGGCACTCTGGAAAAGGTCTCATGGTGCTCTGGTTGAGAACCAGTGGTTTAAACTCAGTATCCTAAAATATTCAGGTGTCATTGGAGAGTTGTAAGAATCAGGACACCAAAGGACTATTGATTTAAAAAAGTGTAAATAAAATGGTCATTAATATTTTAAAGTGACAACAAGGTACCATGTATGCAGTTTTAAGCTGCATACTGTGGCAGGTTAGACTTTAAGCCACAATTAAACCATGCCAATTTCAGGCTGCTGTGGAGGTGGAAACATGCAAAGCACTTGGAAATTCAGCCGCTTCATTTAGGTGCCTGGATGGGAGCTGGGCAATTCTGAAAATCTATTTTAAAGAATTCAAAACACTCAAGATATACAAATGCATACAAGATAATGGATATTTTGAAGTTAACGCTTAAAAATTATGCACATAGCCCTACTGGGAACCTAATACAGGACAAGATTCCTACATGGAATACAGGAAACTGTGAGAAAAAATGGTGTAATATTATTTTTTATCATCTCTGTTACATGATTGATTAGTAAACATTAAAATAAAAATCAGGACCTCAAGATTTCCATAGGTCATAGATAATTTAGGGTCTTTTCCCACAGGACCCCACAGAAGTCCATGGTAAAACTCTTGTTGATTTCAATGAAGCCAGGATTTCAACTTAGATGTTGAAAGTTTTTATGGACCTACCCAAAATGTATTTAATTCACCAATGCTGAAAAGAAAGCACCACAGTGGAGCTGCAGCAAATAGAAAATAGCTATTAGCACTTCTGCCTCATAACCCTGGCAATGGATATAAGCCGATTCATACCTGGCCAGCTTGTTCTCTGCTAATTTGTTTGGATCAGAGTAGCTTTTCTAAAAAAAAACCCACAAAAAACCCTCTCATTCTGCAGCTGCAGAAAATGGCACAATATGTGAGTGGAGAGCTTCTGTTAATGAGCCTCCCACCCCACAGTGCCATCCAGAAGCATTTAGGGAACACACTATGCATGCATGACAAGCATTTTGGAAGCAGAGGTGCTGCAGATTTAACACATTCATTAAATGACAGTAACATCTCTTGCCTGGAGCTGAAAAATTCTCATGAAGCTGGGGATAAGGCTCAGCACCTGCTTTTCCAAATTTTTAAACAATTTTAAATGAAAAATCTTGGTTACTAGCCTGGGATAGAGAGGGAGAAAACAGAAATCCCCTCTACACATGGCTAAATACCCATAACATTTATCATGATTCTCTTTTTCATTGTCTTTGTATAACCCAGCCTTTAAAGCCCTTTTTGACTAAGTGACAGGCATTGTCAAGGAGTTCAAATTTTGAAAAGACATCTCTAAGTCAGGCCATGATATCTCAAGGCACACTGAAAGAGTTGTTCTACTCTTGAAAAACATTCTGCATTGAATGCATTCATTAAGTTATAGGAACATAAGGTATGCGGGAGCAATACATTTGTTCCATATGTTTTTTCTAGGTTGAAACTACTCGCTCTACAGTAGCTTTATGCATTATAGATGTAAACTCTGTGTAGAAGCCTAAACTCAGCATCAGGTTTGAGAAATATGAAATAGTATACAGAACAGTGGATTGCTTCTGTATGATATAATCATTAAATTAAATCTATTCTAAAAAAAAGTATTTTTCTATGGGAAGAACAGTGCTTACTTTCAAACTCATGCCAACATTTTTTTTGTTGGGGGTTTTATTCCATTTTATTTTTCATTCATTCTCAGTCAAGGTTTTCACTTCAGGAAACGTCCCCACCAGCAGCTCGCAACAGCCAGAATTTAGCCAACTTCAGGGAATACTATGTAAGATTGATCCATTTACTTTTTAAAGCATTATGACTGACAAATTATTGGGCGTGCAGGGTCCTGTTACAAGGTGGAATTTCCATTTGTAAGCCTTTTAAATTAAAAGGCTGGTATTTTGTTTACTTTAATATCCATGGAAGGGGCACAGGTGCTTGGCAACAGACCTTTAAAATATTTCTGAATGGACACTGGAACAGGTATTGAAAAGAAAAAAAATCATTACAATTTTGAAGTTGTTTCCATTTTGCAGAGCTCAAAATAGAACATTTTTTCTACTTTTAATTTTTTTAATTTTGGTTTTCCTCTTTGCCTTTCTTTTTTGCTACAAAATAGCAAACAATCAAATTATGTTCAGATCGGTTTTTTCTTTCACTTTTCAGCATTTTATTTTGCCACAATATTTTTTCTAAGGTAAAGAGGCTATGAAAAGTTACTATAGTAAAGGAAAAATTATAAATTCAAATAAAAAGGAAGATCTTAGTCAACTCTTGCCTCCAATGCCATAAAAAATATCAGAAACATTGGAAAAAATAAGCATTTGAAATTTTGAAATTAAACAAAATCTCCAAAAGATTTCAAAAAACCCAAAAGTCTTTCATGACTATTTTCAATTTAGAAAAAAATATTTCTCCCCTTCCCCCCCAAATAACTATATAATAAACATAACTCTTCTATTTTGAATACCCTTCTCCAACTCGCAAGATCTTTCCTTAGTTCCATACGATGTAAACAGTGGTGCTCAACCTATGGCCCATGGGCTGGATGTGGTCCACAAAGCCCATGCAAAAGGCCCATCACCAGAGACCTCCACAGGCATGGTGAGCTCTCTGAATTTAGCTGCAGCGAGAAGGAAGGAACAAGTAGGGGTGCAGTTCAGTCCTGGACTCCAGAGCCATGGGAAAATGGTGGCTCCAGCCAGAATTCATCCCAACAACTGGTGAGCTCAGAGAGCTCTGTGTGCATGCAGAGCTCTAGCAATGCTATTTCTGTGCAGCCCTCAGGCCATTACTTTGGTCTGTTTGTAAAATAGGTTGAGCATCTGTGATTTAAACCAGCCTATAAGTAGACTATGGAAAGACTAGTTATAGGATGATTCAAATCATATATGCTAGTTTTAACAAGGCCTATTTCTTTTTCCATGAGCTCTTATTCACATATATAAGCCCTAATATTACAGCATATAGACTACAGGCACAAAAGAAAGAACCCTTCAGATCTCAAATCTTAGTTTCATTTACAAGTAACATTAGACACATTACACAGCACTGAAAGAAGGCACCTTTCTCTAGTTTGGATCTGCAGCCAGAAACCTCTCCTAAGAGAGGCACCTGCACTCTTTTTTTTTTAACCAAAGAAGTGAGAAAGGCTCACTGTTTCCTTTTAAAATATAGGAGGAGAAGAAAGTGTTGTGGCCATTGCTGCTCCCTCTCCCCCATTTTCTATCATAATTTAATACACTGATTCTCAAACAACATTCTGTGGCACCCAGGGTGCCTTGAGATCCTTTCTGGGGTGTTGCTACATGCCATGCAATGTTAGCATTTTTAGGTGTATAAACATGATTCACAAGATAAACCCAATGATTTCAAATAATCTATAGTGTTAACAAATAAAAAATTGCTATATTATTTTTCCATATTTAAAAAAAAAAGAGTGAACACGTTTGCTGACATTTCCCAAGGGGTGTCTTGAGCCTAAAAAAGGCTGAGAACCACTAGTTTTATAGTGCTTCCCTGGGAAGGAGGAAACCTGTGCTCCAATCCCTGCTTCAAGGACTCTGTGGGTGTACCCACATATGAAATTAACATGAGGCAATAGACTACAGAGAAAATTTGTGTCAGAGTAAACTACTCCCAGGCGCATTGTCTACACATGTCCCCAGGACAGCAGCAGTCTGAGCCAGGGTGGAGCAAGCCTGGGCTGGCAAGGGACACAGGGGGTTAGCCCTGGGCTTCAGGTGGTGGCACTGGAGGGGCTGGCTGGAGCACGAGGGCGCTGACCATGTGGAGCTGTGTGGCCAGGCGGCAGGCAGAAGTCTGGCCCTTGCCTGGCTAGCATCTAAACATGCGTTTTGGTGCCGTAAATGACTCCATTGTAAGATAGTACCGTCCCCAACAGTATTCACCCCCAACTCTTATAGCAGAGTTAATTAGTTTACTGTGCCCTAATACCGGTGCACATGGAGACTGTGACATTTTACTGAGTATCGAATTAGTCAACTCCACAGTAAAGCGCACGTGTTGATGCATCCTGTGTGTATTTTATCCAATTACTGTTAAATAAGCATTACAAAAATAGTCCTTGGACCAGGGTCTAAGTCTCTCCCTTACTTCCTGGAGAGTGCCATAAAAATTAGGCTACAGAGTCATGCGTCTTCTTGTGCTTGCCTCCAGGCTTCTTAAATAATCTTAATTTTTTTCTGTACTGGGAGGTGAAATATGTGGGTTTCAATCCCCCATACTGAAGAGGGAATGAAACCTGGTCTTCCCCTTCTTAAAAGGGTGCTGTAGCCACAAGACTATTATAGCGGTGGGCCACTGATTCCTCTTCTCTAGAGTGGTGTCCACACCTGCATAACAATGGAGCCCAATTTTACTGTTGTGTTTTAGATGGCCTGTGAGAATGCCTACCAAGTGGAACTGCCCAGAGACTTTGGCACATCTAGTTTCTGGATCCAGTCATGCTTAGGCATGAGCTACGCACCAAACTGCTCAGGTTTGGGGCATTTCTGAGGAAGCACAAAGACACAACTCTAGACACCCAGGAAATAAAGCACCTAAAAAGTTTAGGTCCTCCACATTTTCAGGGTCACAATTTAGGCAGCTACAATTCTGGAGGAGCAAAGCAGTGCAGGTAGCAGCAAGGGAGTCTAACTGAACCAGAGATAAGCTTTATAATTTGGTCATTACAGATGGGCCCAATATTTGCTGAGAAGGGGACTACCAAAAAGGTTTAAATCTTACCTTTTCAAACAAACTTTGAAGAGACACAAATTCAAAAGACAAAACAGGAATTAAAGTTGCTTCAAATCCATATGATCCTAATTCCTACAGATAAAAGTGTATATTGTTATTGAAATACATTGCAAGTAGTGGGTGGGTATTTCTTTTTAAAAGAACAGACTATTTGGCAGTAGAATAATTTGCAACTATTTTTCTAAACTAAAACCCAGAAGTGTCTAAGGAAGAAAGTCTGATTTATTTTTACAGGTGAATGTTGTTTATGTTAATTGGTATATTTAATGTTGTTGAAAAAACCTGAACTAGCAGCCCTGGAGACTGAAGCCCTCTCTTTATCCATTGAACAGATATGGTAAAAATCATTCTATACCATCCAAGTGCTCAAGTCCTAAAAGTTCTGTAATCATGTCTAGATAAGTTTGAAATCAATGGAACTAGCTGTGCAAATAGGATATGCAGAAGAAAGGCTACTTCTGGGGTTTTTTAGACCCTACAACACATTCTTAGACTCTGAACTCCAACTGACAATTTTTGTAACACTTACAAAACACTGCAAAAATAATTCTGATCTATGTAAGAACACATTGATATTAATGGGGTAATTGTTAAAAACTAACTTCAGTAATAATAATCATGATCATTCTGAAATCTTTAACTTTGAATTCAATGTAAAAATTCTTATCTAAAACTACTCCTTGTGCCCATATAAATTACACTATAAAACTTGTTTTCTTAATGAACATTTCCTCTAGTCGTATACCAATAACAACTAATCACATTTACATTGCTCAATTGCTAAACATTATATTTGTCTCCTTGTAAAACAACGGAAAGAGATAGATTGTTTTGGGGGGTGGTTAATGTACTTACCTGAATATATGGATCTGGTCCCGAGTCTCTCTCTTTGGGGTCCTTCAGTAACAGAACCTTCATTGTTTACCAAAGAACCGTGACAGAGCACTGAAGTACAATAAAATAAATATATCTAAATTAGATCTAGAGGACTTTTCTCTGTACAATAGCTCTAACAGTTCAGCATCACAAGAAACTGGATAATTAACAGATGCGCTAGTCCTTACACAATGAATAAGCAGCTAATGGGCACACTCTGGGAATGAACATCCACCCTGATAAGACCAACAAAAAACATGTTGGTTTTAGATAACACAACTTAGACACAAATGAGGTTTAAAGCTATGAAGGAGAATGTATTTTAAAGGAAAACACATTTTTAAAGGAGTAATGTCCTATGCACCATATTAATACATAAAAATAATGCCCGTCTCCTCTTCTAAATTTCTTATTATATTCTATAGGTTTTTATGTTACGGCACAACATAAGTATCTGAGCACTTTCAAGAAGTACAGCGGTTCCAAAACTGTGGTCTGTGAGGCCATGGTAAATTGTCTATACTGGTCTGTTGATTGAACCTCCTCCCTGCACATTTCAATTAAAAGTTTAATGATTAGTGTACATGGCAGTCTATAAGAGATTTTGAGGGTAAACAGTGGTTTCATCGTTTCATAGTTGTTAGGGGCTCGAAGGGACTTTACAGATCATTGGTGTGCTCATCCGAAAAGTTTGGGAACCACTGCAGCAGTGCATTAAGCAAAGTGACTAATATTTGTCATTGTTTTCCCAAAGGAACAAGTTTGTGGAGAGTTCTGCTTTGGAATTTTGTGGTTATGACAAAAAAATCCACTTGCCCTCAAAATTGATGATGGCATTTAATGCTAGTCTTCTACCATACTCCCAAAAATGCTACATTAATACACTAAATAATATAATGATAGACTAACAGAAATCTATTAGCTACCATATACTTGAATATTTGCTAATTCCCTAGTATATTAAATTCCAATCTAATTAATTCTAATTAAATAATTCTGAACACCAATGATTTACACAAAGTTTTATATTGTTTATGAATTTCACCAATATGAATTAGCATTCTAAACACCCATGCAAAGTATATGTTATTATCCTCATTTTATAGATATGGAAGCTAAAGGGAAAGATATTTAAGATCCAAGTTTTCAAACACGGCCTCTAATGCTGAGTGCTGTCATTTTTTAGTTTTCGCTTTAGCAATAGAAGTTATGACTTTCACTTGGAAGATGTGTCTATGAACATTTTTGATTAGTCTAAAAGATCCAGAAATAATTTGGAGATTATTGAAAAAGGCGTTTTTTTTCCTTGAAAAGTTAGTAAATGTTCTCACAACTTTTCAGCCACTCCTAACACTGAAACAGAGATTCTACCAACTCTAAAGTTCATCTAGGTGCCACAACGCTGTACACTATATAGATACCAGACTTCTGCTTTTTAAACTAAAATTAACAATATGTTCTGTGACTGATTGGATACCGATGTCACCATGTGAATTTTATGCAGTTATGCATTTTAAAACTTTATATATTTACAAATTAACACGTATACATTTATAAATTAACATTTACAAATTAAAATACACTGGCAAACAACTCTGCTCTGTTTACCAACAAAATGGGTCTCAACTTTGGCCGACTTTATCCGTGGCACATGCTGAAGTACATGTGTGTGTCTATCTGTATCCATGAATATTGATGAAATGTAATTTTCTGTTTCTTTTTTAAAAAGTGGGAAAGGACCACACAAAAACCTTTAATTTAGTCTTAAGAGTTGTACCAGTGACAACATGTATTGTGCAAATTATATATAGAAAGAACAATACAAAAAAGCCAGAAGCATTAAAAAGAAGTGAGATTACTAGCTAAGGCAGTACAGTAGTACTATAGACTTGTACAGTACTACTCTTATAAAAGGTACATTCTCTTAATAAAAACATTACAAAATCATTCACCTTACGCATTTCACCAATAACCTTAACTCTGGCCCACAACACATACTTACAAACTCTTCCAAGACTAATTACATACTTTACATATCTTACATAAATATGTCACAACCCAAAGTTGTGGTTTTTTGTTTTTGTGTGCTTTGGCACTGCTAAATTATGTCCCCACCAAATTGCAGCTCCTTTGCACGGTAGAGTTTTCTGCTGCAATAGAGAACCCACATGCAGAACAGTATTTCCCGCCACTTTGTAGCCTTCTTTGCATGGTGCATTTCTTTTGCATCATAGTGATGCACAGTGCAAAGGAGTTCCCGCCATTTGCATTAAGATTTGCGCCACATTATTGGCCGATCCTAAATTATGCACACGTGGCGGCTAGCGATTGGCTTGCTAGCCGTATAAAGAGCTTGGGAGGTTTCCGCCCAAGTTGGAGAGAAAGAGAAAGCAATTGGAGTTTGGGAGAAAGAGCATGAAGATTTCTAAGCGCTACTAATCCCTTCGAACCCAGCTTCTTTTTCTCCTTAAGAGGGCAATAGAGGGCCGACTTACCGAACCCACGGAGTCTTAACAACTCCGGGGGCCTATTTACCGAAC